GATGTAAATTTAGAACAAAGCATTGCAGTTCAAGTTTATAAAGACCCCAAATGAATGGTTTGAATGTGAAAATAAATGATTTAAAAGCATGACATGTCTTCTTTAAAAGAATATCACCTGTAATTTATTTATTTATTTATTTTGCCCTTCATTGTTACTTTAATTAACCATCCTAACATGCTGCACATGAAAACACTGGTTACATCACACCTAAAAAATGATAAAGTCAAAAGAGAATGGATAAAAGACACACTGCAGTATTTATCATTTATTGTGATTTACAGTATATGGTACAGCAGTGTGCTATGTGTACACTGGTGTTCCTCATTGACTACGAAGCTAAAGCAATAAAAGCTTTCTCAGTGGTTGTGTTCACCTTTTATTTAACAGAAAGCATACTTTTCTCCTCCCTGACTTCCTGTTTGGATATCTGCACAGGGATGTAGTGTTTAAATTAGAGTGTGTTGGTCTACGCACATGTTTGTGTGGTTTGTGTTTTGGTGTTGGGTGGGAACCGCCCTATTAAGCTGTAACGGAGACGCCAGCTAAAAGCTCTGCAATCACTGCAACTTTTTTATTGGCCCACGCTCGCACGTGCAACTTCATTCACTCTGCAGTGACATTCCTGCTGACGTGAACTGAATACAGCCAGATTCTTTGGCTGAACGTTTGACTCCGGGTCCAGATCCAGAAACGTGGATATTTTTGGTGCACAAATAAAAGAGTGGGGAGCCCAACCTATAGAGCAAGCCAGATGATTACATGGAAGGAACCCTAAATAGTCCCAAAATAAACAATACCCAGTAACAATACACCRTGTAAAGTTCTGTCGCAGCTCTGCCAAAACATGGAAATCATCTCTTTCGGGTGGTCAGGTGACGGGGTGAGGCTGTGGGCGTGTACTCGTGTGATGTGAGGTACCTTCRTGGGAATGGGGAAACCAGATTTGTGAGGCGCTGGAGTGGGGTCCACCTCGGAAGGAGGGTGAGGAGGGCGAAGAGGGTGGCCGGGAGGGGTGAGGCGGGTGGGAAGGAGGGGAACCCAGACTACTGGCCAAAAAGGTTCCCATGAAGGAGGCGGAAGAGTTGCCCATCAATCCACTGCCTACATCACCAAAAGGACAAAGGTGAGGAGAGAGAAAACAAAACAGATTTAGACCGTGAGTGTGACCACATCGTTTCTGTAAAAGATTACACAGGATCTCCACATACATAGCTGTGAGAGTACGGCGCCAACTGGCTCCTTAAGGTGGAATCATCAAGTCGGTAAAAAAAAAAAGGAGAATGGGTGAGAGTGTGTGTGTGTGAGAAAAAGTGCGAGACTCTCCTCCCCCTTCACTGTCAGCAGCCCTCTTCCCTCGTCTCCTCTCCCCTCACACCAGCTCTCCCCGTGGGCAGACAGAGGTCTCATCTCACAGCTGAGTACACACTTTCTCAGGCTCTCTCCCTCTCGCTCTCAAGCTCTCCCCGTGGGCAGACAGAGGTCTCATCTCACAGCTGAGTACACACTTTCTCAGGCTCTCTCCCTCTCGCTCTCACACACTTTTGCTCCTGCTCCCCAGTGTCCCTTTCTCAATTTCTCTCCCTCCCTCCATTATCTTGTTCTCTCCATCTCTCACTTTCATGCCCTCAATCTCTTTTATTGCTTTGCTCCATTTCACCTCCGCTCCTTTTTTCTTTCAATCTTGCATTTCTCACTGTGACTATAACAGTCCCGTTTCCGACTTTCTTTTCTATTTTTATGGTTCCATTTTGGTATTTGGCTCCTTTTTCTTCCTCCTTGCTTTGCTTTGTCACAACAGCCATTTGCTTCCATTCACTCTCTTATTTTGACGAGCAGGAAAAAAAAAACACCATGTCCGTGCCTCTTCGAAATCCTCATTGTCTCTGCTTTCCTTTCCTCCGTCCCTGGTTCTTTCTGACACATAGCATAGCTTTGCTTTGTTCCTCACCATAATGATGGCACCAGCRGAGCAATCTGTCCCTGGCTGGCTGAACCTTGTGTTTAACAAGACTATGATGAGTAATTGACCATTTGTAGCAACGCCCATGTGACTGGGGGCTGATTGTCTATTATGCATTGCTGGGCAGGCTAGAGAAAACACACTGATTAACCACTGCTTAAATTGCATTCCCATTACGCGCCCGCCAGTGCACTTGAGTGAGGGGCCCGAGTGCCCAGCTCTTTGCACATTCATTTCCCCAAAGTGACACCGCCATGAAGTCTCATGCATATGCATGACATTGCCTGGATGAGAACTCACATGCACAAGTATTCTATATGCACAGCTGATATAAAAAAAAAAAACAGTACATAGGTGAGAGGCACAATAAAAATTAATTATCCTTGTCTTATGATTGCTGATGTTGCAAGTTATGCTGTGTGACTTGACTTCCTTTAACCACTAATCAATTCTTTTCTGAGACGGTAAGAAGTCTTAATCAGTCAGGTAAGGAATGAGTGCATCCTCTGTTCAAGCGGGAGAAATAAACCCATCAATCTCCCTCTTTCACCTGCATAGAAATGCATACAGGAGTGTTAAAATGTCAGTGTTAAACTTTTGGGTGTTGATTTAACACCCCCTAGTGTTATTTTAACACTTTCTGAGTACACTCACACCCAGTGTTGGTGTTAATTCACAGTGTTGATTTCCCCAGTGTTGTCTCAACACTGGACAGTGTTAAATAAGCTCCGCCCACAGTGAAGTCTTGTGTAACACTTAACAGTGTTGTTATATRACACCATGCAGTGTTGAAAGAAGCATTCTGAAAAGCCCCGCCCTCTTCCACCTCATGTCAGACAGACTAGCATTTACCCAGCATTCCTTGCTGAGAAATCTTGTAGAAATGATGTTTTTGTATGTTTCTGACCATTAAAGACGTTCATGAGAGTAAAAATGAGTTTTTCTGGTTTGTTTTCTTGTTCAGTTTGATCAAGTTGTTCAACTTTCAGTTTATGTTATTGGCCAAAAATTGACACCATGAGTGAGAGGTATGTCCTGGTGTGTGAAGAAGGGTGACTCCATTATGCTTTTCTAATTACTACTGAGAGTTTGAAATTTACTCTTGAGTGTTATATATACACTCTCAACTTCATGGTGTATTGACACCTTGTGGTGTCTGTAAACCTTTAACACCTCAATTTCCTTTGTTAAAAATAATAATATGMTGGTGATGCTTTTAAYACTGTATTTTAACTGTCTAAATGTTAACATGACACCCAGTATTGTTGAATATTAAACACTGGTTGGTGTTAAATTAACAAAAAAATAAGTGTTAAAATTTAACACTTTCACAAATGTTATTTTAACACCAGCAAATGTGGACACATATAGACACTTTGTTGGTGTTAAAATTAACACTGGCATAGGCCAAAGTGCAGAAGCAAAGAGTGGTGCACATGGATATTATCTCTTGGCATGGACACACATTTTCATGCATTAAAGTTACATTTTGTGCTCTGACAGRTGAAAATCCCTTTTGGTTGTCAAATGTTCAACATTTCACCTCAGAAACCATCATAAAAAAACAATTCAGTTTTCACATGTTCTCCGATTAGAAACTTCTGAAATCATTTGCTTCTAAGTGAACATAAATCTATCAACCTGCTTAACATGTTTGATGGTTACAACTGCACAATGTACAGTTACTTCAGCTATTTATAGAATAAAACAACGTGAAGCATTGTGAAGAACAGAGCTGGCCATTTTGGCACCCTGTAGGTAAGATTTCAGGTGCCCCCGCCCCCCCCAATGCAATTTTCTAAATCCCACAGCCAATTTGCATTCATTCATTTGAAACGGAATACCAGAAGTCTACCTCAGACTTGCCAATGTTTGCAGACAYCAWYRAGGAACACCTGTTCATGTTAATGAGCAGCTGTGGAGTGCAGCAGTTCTAGGGGGGGTGGGGTGTCTAGGGGGCAATGCTTCCCCAGGAAATTGTGTGTTTAAAATGATGCATTTTCCAGTCATTTCAAAAGCATTTTACTAAAGTCTTGGAATTAATAAAACAACATAAAATTAGTAGTTTATGAAGGTAGAACAGTAAAAACCAGACTTTAACCTGACCTTCAACTACACTCTGATGAAAAAGATATAAAATATTTATATGTTATTATTTAAGTTGTGTAACTTTTTTTTGCCCCCATTTGTGGCATCCCCTGGATGGATGGCGTTCTAAGCATGTGCCTATACTGCCCATGCCATGGGCTGACCCTGGTGAAGAAGCACTGTGACTCAACAAAAAACATTATTTTCTCCTTTTTCAGTCCCTATTCCCAGGTTCTTCCTTTTTTCCTGCTGCCACCTCCTATCACTCTGTTCGTGTAGAGTCCTCTTGGCACAGCTCTATGAACTACGGGGCGAACGGGGTCAGGGGCAACTGGGGGGAGTGGATTATAGCCAGCATGCTCACCAGGCATACGTCCAACTCCCATCATCCAGACACCCTGGGCGGCTGTATGCCACCACCCTTCACACCGCACACACTTGTGCCTTTCTCCTCTAGTTTTTTTTTTTTTTTTTTTTGCCTATTGCCCCAAGGAACCCCAGTTTTCCTCACCGCCTCCAGTGCACATAAATCAGCTAATCCTCCTGCATTATTAACAACCTTGCTTCGGAGAGAGGGGAGAAGTAAAAGAGACATAGAGAGTGACAGAGAGCAACCTCTTAAAGTGAGGGAGGAGAGAGTTCCTGACAGAAAGGGAAGTAAAAGATGGACGTAATATAACAAGGGGAGGTTCAGAAGTCGGGCAAAGGCATCTTTAAAGTTTAAACTGGTGTTGGGAGGAAAGGRGACTGAATGCAAACATCTTTATTCTAATTATTATTGTCTTTACCACATTATAGGTCAGATCTTCAGTGGTTCTGTCACCTGCATTGGAACAAGACATTTTTCCCCAGTCTCGACTGTAATGTGCTAGTTCTTATTGGCAATTTGCTGACTGTAAGGCTGAATCTACTTTTTCTAAGTAATCTCCCTACATTTTAGATTAAAGTGTACCAGGCTTTGAAGAAAGGAGAGAGAGTGATTAAAATATTCAACAGTAAAATTGACACTTGTTTAAGTGGCCGATCAGCATCAGTGGTCGTCTTATAGACGTGACGTGGTTTTACCAGTTTCCATAAGCTGTATTGTATTGTATTGTAGCTGCTATGTAACTAGTTCAAATTGTAACAGAGACTGATTTACTTGTTGTTCACGTTCAAGCTCAACATTAAAATGGTAGTTGAAATCAAAAAATTTTTGTCTAAAATGTATTGTTCCAGTTGTACGTACAGCTCATAACCCTTTGTGCACCATTGAAAAATCTGAACTGACTGGAGTGCTCTGTGTCAGCGTCGCTAACTTCAACTCCTCATCTCATTTGGTTCTGTGTCGGCAGCTTCTACCCACCAATCRAGCTGGCCATGCTCTGGTTATATTGGTAGATTTGTGAATAGCYAGAGGCGTCTTAAAAAAGGGGGATTGTCTTTATGGCTAAACTGCAAATCTGTTTTGTCAAAAGACCYAATGTATGACRCRGGGCAAATAGAATATATTCTTAGGYCATGAGAAATATTTCCCATGATGCTGTCTTTAAATCTATTTAGAGGCATGTAGTTTGTAGAAAGCAGGCTGGTCTGTTTTGGTGMAGCATCAGTTTGAATGCAAACCCAGGTGATGCTGAACAGATGGAAGAACGGTTGGGAAATGATCATGCCAGAACTGGATATTCAGAACATTTAACAACTTGTGACATGAGTTTAAGAAATTTGCCACTGCTACGCCTGCTCTTAAAAATACATATTTTTAAAGTTTTGAACTTGTTTTCTTTCTCTTTTCTTTTTTCCCTAAAAATCCTGTTTTTATTTCTCTAGATCTCAGCGGTGTCAGCAGTGCTCTTGCATAGGCTGTTAGGAGAACTGGCTCATGTATATGCTATTCAGTGACAATCTCTGACATCAGTGGAGATTAATCCTAATTTGAAATTATAGGGGCAATACAGTATGTGTTGTTCAGGAATACATTTAAATACTATACCACAACAAAGTATCTATGTCACCTTTAGTTGTTATTAAAATGCTGTTTTTATGTTTAAATAGAAAATACACTTATCTTCTCATCACTTCCTCTTCTAAACGCCTTGAAATTGGCCTCTGTCTCTTTAAGAACCACCTTCTGCTTCTGTCCCGTCCGGTTCAGTGCGGGGTGGGGGTCGTGCGCGCTATGATGCAATTTACTTGGCATCTGAAAATCCTTTCCTCAAAGGTATTTTGAATCTGAAAAGAGCTTCAC